ATCAGATCTGGCACTGTATGTCAAAGTTCTGCACTCCGTCCACCACCCTGGCCGGCTACACTGCAGTGTCAGGAGGCAGCGAGGGAAACCTACTGGACGCACTCTACACCCAGGGTCCTATCAGGTAAGATATATACCCAGATTTTGACAAGCGAAGCGGCCAGAAGTCGTCTTAATTGCTAATACAAAATCTGACACTATTACATCAGACAATGACCTCGACCAACAGCACGTATATATAGCAGTTTGTTCTACGAGCATTCCCTCACCAAAAGAATGTGTGTTGTGTATAGTCCATCTTGAGGCAGAAAATTATAGTCGAATAGAAATACCACAGGAACTTCATGCTTAAAGATTTTTAATGATGTGTTCTTTTTAGCTCCTAATTTATTAAAATTATATTGGGAAAGGTTGTGAAATAAGTATGTATAATTATGGATTAAGGCACTGGTCCCATAATATTATTTTGATTATCCCCCATGCAGTGTAGCAGTAGATGGTACGGGGAACTCATTCCAGTTCTACACCAGCGGGGTGTATTGTAGCAGCCAGTGCAGCAGCAAGAAGCTGAACCACGCCCTGCTACTGGCGGGATACGGGACCACCATAGACGGACAGGACTACTGGATACTCAAGAACAGGTATTTCTTGGGTAGTTATACGAATCAATGATGGTTTAGTTACGTCAACCATGTTTAAGGACCACATTTATAAACCACATGGCTTGAATGTTACCATGCCATGGAACGATTTTTTTAACTGAAGCATTAAAAAGGTTTTAACACTTAACCAGCCACAGACACATAAATGTGTCCAGAGCTTCCATAAGTCCATAATTATGAGTTTATATGGGGTTATAATACTAATTGGATCCCCATGGTGTCCAAAGACTTATTTTGTTCAAAATTGGCATCAAGCTGTGAGGTTTCCTTGTGTATTACTCTTGATATGACCATGTTCTTCTTAACCCTGTGATCCGTCCAACATTTTGATCCGACTATTATTTAATCCTGAAGTAAGTTTGACCACTCTCACTCATTCCTTCCCACTTTTTCTCTCCCTTCCCCTTTCCCTCCAATTTGATCACCAATTAATTAGCTGGGGCACGACGTGGGGAATGAGTGGGTACCTCAAACTGGCACGGAACCAGAACAACATGTGCGGAGTTGCCACGGCAGCCAGCTACCCCATGATTTAGCCTCCGTCCAAGGCCTGATCTTATACTACACTACACCATAGCCCATATAGAGCATCACCAGTAGCTGAGGTATTATTTGCTGTACCCAAAAGAAGACACGATTAGTTGTTTAAAAGCCTAATCGATGTCTGATTTTTATACATGTTTTATGAAAAGAGAGACTGATGTTTGAGCTACAAAATAAAAGTCGATTAAAAAAAATATATAAAAAAATGGTACAGAAAGTTAGAAACATTACCTAGATGAATATAAAAAGGTATGAAAAAGTAACCAATACCGGGCTCCCTGATTAAACTTATAATTATCTCAATAAAATATGACGTTATGTATAAATAATAAATAAAGAATTATGACCGAACAACGTACCTGCAATTTGAATCATTAAAAAATCCTAAGTATGTATGTACAATTTGTCAGTGAAAAGCAGGGCATGTTGGATCGGATACCAACCAGTCGATATCAATGAGAAGTCCATATCGACCGATAGCCAGTGACAGTATAGCTGCCACATGCATGAGGGAGTGTCCATTCACCAGATAGTCGCATTGCCCTGGAAACCACCTCTCAGGGATGTGGAGTGCATTAATTAGAGCTCCGACACTCGATATGACATTCATCACGAGGTAATACTTGAATGCGGCGAGAGGGACAGTGGTGACGGCTGGTACCAATCGAAGAAGCTGGACCAGAGATCGGAAAAAGAACTGCACTGTAAGAGCAACGACCCTTTTTCTCTTGCAGTCAACTACGACGAGGTAATAGAGAACTAATAACGAGAGGAGCATGTAGACAACGAGGTACAATTGGAGGAGTTTCGGGAGACAGTAGAGAGTCACGTAAATCCCGACGAGGGATCCAAATGTCGTCGCGAACCAGACGCCGAAAACGTCGGTTTTGAGTAGTCTATTGTAGACATGTTGGCCGGAGATATGGGGCATGAAGGTGTGGTAGAGGACGCTGAGGGCAAAGGGGAGGGTGCTGGTTAGGAGGTCTGCGATGATAAAGAGCCTCACTGGGCCGTCTCCGTTGGTCCAGGTGGCAGAATGGTCAACCCAACGACCAGCAAAGTATGCTAGAGCTAGACCTGGTGTGTGTGTGTGTGTGTGTGTGTGTGTGTGTGTGCACAGGTGGGTGGGTGGATGGGTGAGAGAGGCAATTACTGGAGTAATTTATTCCTAGACGTGGTCTACTTTGTTAATTAGTTGACAATTATTAAAATCTGAGATGTAAATGCAATGAAGAAGACAATAGTAATGCAGATATGCCTGATGCAAATTTGCAATGCAAGTATGTATGTAGATAAGTAAGGCCTGATGAAGACAAGTAATGCAGACCGGTCTGATGTAATGTAGACAAGTAGAACTTAACGAAAGATTTCTGTTAAAAATATACAAGCTACATAGGAAGACGGTGCTGATAAGTACACAGTCCACAATGATGAGAGAGGTGCTGGGAACTGACAATGTGGGAGCAATTCGAATTAAGGTGTACTACCAAGGATGAGGTGTTTGTGTAGGCACAAACATGCAGCAATTATAACGACTCAATGTCTTAATTGGAGAATTTTGCTGGAAGCACTATAAGTACGTAGCAGCAATGCCATTCCTCGAAATATTTTCTTTGTTGCATGTCTCCATGGAAGACAGAGCTATCAAGTGCACATATCTCACATAATTTTAACTGATTATCACAAGCTAGCTGATGGCCTGTGAGATTATTGCTACGATTATGCCTACAAGATACATGCAGTACAGGCATAGACTGGTGGTGTATTGCGGATATTATACACAAACTATTAGAGACACTGCACGTAGGGACTTGGGTAACTTCGGGACTTTGTAGCTAGGAGGTTCCCCTTATCGGAGGTTCCACTGTACATAGCCAGTATAGCTAGTGTCTCACAGTGGCTGACGATGTTGAAGGACTCGTTGTGGAGGTGAAGAGTGCTCCTGAGGCAGTCAGAGAAGCTGGACGGCGGTCGGTAGCCCGTCAGGATGAACTCATTAAACTGGAGATGTTGGGGAAGTTCCCGCAATTTGTATAACCTGTGGAAGTACGTGGACACCAAGATACAAAGGTGTAGTGTGATACAAGCTAGCTAGTCTTACCTTTTCATGCTTCCGCTTCTTAGTGCTCTGTCTCTCTCCCTCGTCCAAAGCTACCACACACCAAGACTGTGGCTAGTGATGATCGCGCGATCCGGCGAGTGACCCCGCCCATGTTTTTGTTGTGAGCAGCAGCAGCCTAGCCTCTAGAGAGCTAGAGATATATGCAGCAGCAGGGGGGCGGGGCGCGGTAGTTTTCCGCACTTACTGCGCATGCGCGCGGTGTGTAAACAACACGACAAAACCTGACCTGCTGACAGCAGACCCCACGTTTTTCTTCTGCTGCACTGCTAGAGAGAAGTCCACGGAGAACGTAGGATGAGCTCGATTCCTTTCTATGCCGTAGACACCAGTCGTCGTGCTATGGGCTGCCGCCGCCCGCAGACTCGGGCGTCGCCGTCCAGGAAGACGGGTCAGTTTCTTGTTGTGGCCAATGTGACAAGTCTAGTTCAGTTTTTGTGGTAACTACCGCGTCAGTAGAGTGAACCCCCAAAATGTGCTCGACATATTCCTTATTCGTACCGAGGTAAAAAGTGGCCAATTTTTGCTCTGCATGTGTGCCCATGCTTTGCAACTGGGAGCTATATAGCTAGCTGGGTTTGGAAATGTAAGGGTATTGGTTAGAGGAGGACTCTGTTTTTCCTGGATAAACCTCAACTTTAGCGGCAGTAAAACGAGTGTAGTCACACGTCGACATTTCATTTGTCGGACACTTGCCAAGCACAAATGTAGTATGGATCACTTGTTGGATATCCCTAAGCAAATGACATGTATGAAGCTAGGTATATACTGGTGAGTTTTATGAGCATATACTATCCTGCGCGATGTAAAGTGGGTTCATACATGTCGGTTGTTAGGGATATCCAACAAATATATTGCAGTGCCCAGACACTACAACATATACTTGGCAGCACAAATGCATCATTCTGAAAGTATACAACATACTACTTGTGATACAGCAAGACATGAATAGGAGTCACATCTGGTGCCATCTTGTACAGAGGAAGCTGGACACCAACAGTTAAAGTGATTGATTTCAGAAACCATTCATACAAGAATTGTTGGAGGGGTTCCACAGTATGTAATGGACCAGCTTGGTTGCCTAGTTGAGATCTTATATATGCAATGGAGAGAAAATGCCGCTGTTTTTTCCATGAAGTGTTTGATTGTGCAATAACTGTATCGAAACAGTAATACTATAACAGGTTCCACTGTATGTAGCAATTGGTTTGCTTACGTTTCATATCTTTACCAGCTTTCCCAACAGATCCCCTAGTCGACCCGTCCTCCAACCCCTCCACCTCCTCACACCCTCCCCCGCCACCTCACACTCCCAATTCTTACACTCCAACCACACCCACACCACCAGAACACTCCCTACACTTCAATTTGTCACTCATCTGCACCGTACCTGACACCGGTACTTTGACCTCTGACCCCAGAAGCTCCGCCCACCTTAACCAGCAAAGCCACAACAGAGACTTGGCTATGGAGGCTCTTGGAATGTTTAATTAGCTCTCCGCCACGAGGAACCAAGTCATCATCTCTTCCCCAGTGTATCGACCACCAATTTCATTACCTGCCCCTTGTGTAATAGTTTTGTCAGCATGCATGGAAGTCTTTCATTGTTAACCTCTTTGTATCCAGCAGTGTTGTTATGCTACCTTTGAATGAATGCGCATGCGTGGCAAGCATCACCTCGCGCGCAAGCTCTTGCGAGAGCAACCGCGGGTCGGCGACTACATAGCTAGCGCCTACCATGCTCATATTCGGGTTGACTGGAGGAATCGCCAGCGGAAAATCTACGGTCAGTCGCATACTGGAGGAGTTGGGCTGTCCCGTCGTCGATGCAGACGTTCTTGCGAGAAGAGGTAGCTAGCTAGGTGCGCATCACAGCAGGCCCCCGGGCCGCGCGAGCGCATGCGCAGAAGGCCCATCGCGTGGGGGTCTGCGCTGCGCGTGTGCATGGGTGCTTATAAACTCTGAAGATGTGCTATTCTACTATTATAATGCAGTGGTAGAACCTGGCAGGCCTGCCTGGAGAGCAATAGTGGGACATTTCAGAGACGAAATTCTCCAGGAGGATGGCACTATCAACAGAGAGAGACTCGGCTCCATCGTTTTCGATGACGAGTCCAAAAGAAAGACCCTCAACAGATGTACCCACCCTTACATTCGCAGAGAAGTATTGTGGGAGCTAGCAAAACACTTCTCGAAAGGTATCTCCATGCATCAACCCGCTTTAGATTCTTAGTTGTATTATTTTCTTTCGTGTCTGTTTTTTGTGTGTGTGTGTTAATAGGAAGCTCATATGTGGTGCTTGTGAGTCCACTGCTGTTTGAGACAAAGTATGCCCTGCACTACATGCGCCAGACTATTGTTGTGAGCTGGTGAGCCTGTGTATGTTTATCCTCAGTGATAACACCTCCCTCGGTACATAGCACTCTGTGATTATCTATATCTGATGTCACTGGGGAATGCACTCAGACTGCAAATGAATAATTGTGTGTTTTTTCTGTGTGTGTCCCCCAGTAGCAAAGTTGGACTAATTATGATATTACTTTTACACTAATAGAAATGACTAGTTTACTCTCTTAGAAGGCTCACTGATTTTTTAAGGAAACTCAAAGTCCTTCAAAAAGGGCCACTAAGAAGTTTTCTTGCAACAACTACTAGACATAGGACTATATAATTATAAGCTAAAGCACCCAGCTACAAGACTAATTAACATGATAGTAATTAAAGCCAAGAGGATTTTTTACACACAGCACAGATAGTCAGCAGTTGAGTCGGCTGATGGCTCGAGACAGACTGAGCAAAGAGGAGGCCGTCAAGAGAATCGAGGCCCAAATCCCATTGTCCTGCAAGATCTCCTGGGCAGATGTGGAGATTGACAACTCTGGCAGCAGACTGGAGACTAGGGGTCAAGTGCAACATCTCGTGGAGAACATGAAGAGACTTTCTCATTGCAGACTGATTCTCTTCAGAACACTCATAGCGGTGTTTGCTTCGTTCATGTTCGTCGTTTTCTCTTTTTTCGCAGTTTCATGACTTTTGCAACACGCTTGCACGCAGTTTTTTGGGCGGCCCTTCGGGACAGTGCAAGCGCGCCCTGGCCGTAGGTCACTGGTTTGCCGACCGCGGCCGGTCAACCCGCAGATCCGTCGTCTTCAAAACGTAAACTAGGCTAAACGGGAACAGAATCATCGACAACGGTGGAGATAGAAATGCGCATCACACGAACACAAATCAATGTATACACATGTGTAAATAGTTAGAGGAAGGAAAGAGAGCTAAAAATTACATCTTCTTTGCATAGAGTTACTATAATATCTACTCGCGGGCCATTCCCTGGCCGCCGGGGGCCTTCAGCTCCTGAGCCTCTTGCACGATGGAGCACAGACCGCAGCACCAGTGGCAGATGAGATCCTTGAAACACGAGCCCTCGATGCCCTTCTGTTCACGGATCTTTCCTCGCACGGAGACACGAGCCCACAGGTCCAGCAGTGGCACGAACTGGGAGAGGGCGCACAAGACGCAGTTGTCGCCGACGGCCTCTGCGTTCTTGCCGAAGACGTAGCAGGGGCAGAAGTAGGCGATGATGCAGGTGGAGCAGTCGTTGAAGCAACCGAAGACTCCGTTAGTCCACTCGCGAGACATGGCGATTGATGTGCACGGCTGTTTCGGATAGAATCACGAAGATAAAGAACTTTCTGCTGGAGCGTCTGGAAAAATGACAAGAACTGACTGAGCCGCGACCGTTTCAGCGTTTTATCCGGCATGCGCGCGCGGGGGAAAATGCGCGGCGACACGCCCCACCCATATATATTTTTCGGCTTGCTCACATTTTTCGTACGAAAGGAATACGAAATACGCTGGGCTAACCGTAAAATATTTTACGGTCGGGGTGGGGTGTGCGAAGCACGTGATCATGGTTGGTGCGCATGCGCAGGTTCCAGTGTGACGTTCATTTCCCGTTGCCTGGTCAGATCAGATTCACGGAACTATCTCCCTCGAGCTGCCTTCTCTTTGAGTCTCCTGAAAACCCTTCACAAACAGCCCATCGCCATGTCTCGTGAGTGGAGTAACGGAATCTTCGGGTGCTTCAACGACTGCTCCACCTGCATCATCGCCTGGTTCTGCCCCTGCTACGTCTTCGGCAAGAACGCAGAGGCCGTCGGTGACAGCTGCGTCTTGTGCGCCCTCTCCCAGTTCATCCCCCTGCTGGACCTGTGGGCCCGTGTCTCCGTCCGAGGAAAGATCCGTGAGCAGAAGGGCATCGAGGGCTCGTGTTTCAAGGATCTCATCTGCCACTGGTGTTGCGGTATATGCGCCATCGTGCAAGAGGCTCAAGAAATCAAGGCTCCTGGCGGCCAGGGAATGGCCCGCGAATGAACACTAAGTACTATCACCGAACTATGTTAGCTCCTAGTGTGCTCTCAAGACTACCTGTATTGCTATGTATTGTGAAAATAAGCTGATTTTTTAAAAAATGATCACGAGTGCTTTCTCCCTACATGTCTCTCTTGGGTTACAAAGATGCGCGCGCGCCACCGTCTTCTCCGTTCCATGTGTGTGGTACTAGAGACACCCTTTTCGCGGGAGGCAACGAGAGGTGCGTCCATCGCCTGCACGACTAGAAAGCTAAAACCTTTCAGCCTCGCCGCCACGAGCCACGCACACCATGCACATGAGTGTGCATCACCTGTGGGTGCATGACGGGAGAGGTTTGTGTGATGGACCTTTCGCTAAAACCAACAGGGCCCTGCCTGGGGAGGGGGGTGACTAGAGGGCCATCTCTGAGCTTGGCCTGTGCCATAACTCCACTTTTTCTTTGAGCCTCACCCACTGCCTGAAAATTTGTTATAGACAGACTGCTAGTATGTATGTTGCTGGCTGCTTACTTCAAGCATGACAAACCAATGAAAATGAAATAATACATACCTCATTGTGTACGGCATGCACACCACAATAGCAATGTGACAGTATAAATGCAGCTACATAGCTAGTCTGATTCGTCTTTCATGAAAACGACACTCTTTGGACCGAGAGACAGCTCGCCCAGCGATGGTCCGCCGTCCGCGGGACAGTGGAGCTCTTTCTTTGGAAAGTTTGTGACCAGAGTAAACCGGCGAGGGACGCTGTCACTGGTGTAGGCAAAGTCGTAGAGTGACTGCATGGAGAGAGAGAGAGAGAGAGGCAGAGATTGAGAGAAAGAGGGGGAGAGAGAGAGAGGCAGAGATTGAGAGAAAGAGAGGGGGGGATGTAGCTAGGTATGTGTGAATGAGATAAGGGGAATCCTGATGTCTTAGGTTACTATATACTAACTTCCTTTTTAGGCATACTAAGGTGCATAAGGTGAGCACCTATTAGTCCCACTGTACACTAAGTTTACAGAAAAACAGCTACACATGCTATCTGAAATACACCCCACTATCCAAACAGATGCCAGGGGGAAGGCTTGGGGACATGCTAAAGGAGCAACAGAACACAAGGGGACACAAGGAAGAGAGGCAAGTAGACCTTATCAGACATCCTGTTCTACCATGGCAACAGGGTCACCTGGACCCACCACACTATGTAATCACCTTTAGCTTACTGACACCATGCAGTAGTAGGCCAAATGTCAGTACCACCAAACTGTACACATTGCCAAAAAGTGAACTTTTCACAAGGCTGGGGAATGCCCAGAAACAAGATACGCACAAATTGAACTTTGGCTCACACGTCTTTTCAGCTTGCGTATTACGACTGTATGCACAAGTTACACTTGTACAATAGGCTATTACGTAACAAAAACCAAGCAGGGGGAAGGGTTGGTATGTGCGTATCGCTCAAGTTAACGAGGCTTAGCTATGAGGCTTAGCTAACTGAACGTGTAGGTCGGTGACTGCTGCTGTAAGTATAAGTGACTGTGCATCATACGACAAACACAGAGAGAGGCACACGTGTGACACGTAAGAAAGTGTTTGAAACCAGAAAACAAAACTTTCAGAAAGGTGTGGTGACACTTTATTCTATTACAGCAACACGCACGACTATTGCATACTACATACATACATGTAGAAAACACCAATGTGTATAAGATCAGATTATGACACCTACTATGTACAACATAAGGTACCATCGTACTTAGCGAACAGACATCTCAAGAGTTGTACACAATCAGTGGATCTAAACGGCGTAACTTAGAACACAGCATGCACACATACATACATACAGTTGAACCTCTCCAATGAGGACGCCCGACTGGACCATATAAAGTCAACTGAGATTTGGATAGAGTTATAAGGTTTCCTTAGAGAAGTTCAGAAGTCACTGTATAAGTAAGTCACTGTCAAGGTAGCAAGGCAGGGGTAAAACAAACAACTCAAATATGTACATACATTACCTGAACATTACACATTACCTGAAGCTGGTGTATAATTATGCATTACCTGTAGCTAGAGTATTATGCGTTACCTGAAGCTGGTGTATAATTATGCATTACCTGTAGCTAGAGTATTATGAGTTACCTGAAGCTGCTGTATATACATTACCTGAAGCTGGTGTATAATTATGCATTACCTGTAGCTAGAGTATTATGAGTTACCTGAAGCTGCTGTATATACATTACCTGAAGCTGGTGTATAATTATGCATTACCTGTAGCTGGTGTATATACATTACCTGAAGCTGCTGTATATACATTACCTGAAGCTGGTGTATAATTATGCATTACCTGTAGCTGGTGTATATAATTACCTGTAGCTGGTGTATAATTATGCATTACCTGTAGCTGGTGTATATACATTACCTGAAGCTGCTGTATATACATTACCTGAAGCTGGTGTATAATTATGCATTACCTGTAGCTAGCTAGAGTATTATGCATTACCTGAAGCTGGTGTATATGCATTACCTGAAGCTGGTGTATATGCATTACCTGAAGCTGGTGTATATACATTACCTGAAGCTGGTGTATATGCATTACCTGAAGCTGGTGTATATACATTACCTGAAGCTGGTGTATATGCCATTACCTGTAGCTGGTCGGAGATATGGAATCTTCTGTCTAGTCTCTCTCCACTGGGCAGTCTCAGACTGATGAGGACCACAGTGGCTGGGTCCACCGAACTGGCTGGCTCAGGGGGGAGTCTCTCTCTTCTTAGACTCACCTCTCTTGCAAACTCCTGCATTACATCATCATTACATCACACAACACACACCTTTCACGCTTAGTTAGACAATTACTGAATTAGACCCCATTGTTGTAGTGTGAAACAATCTTTATTAAAGTGGAAATTCATCTCATCACTAAGGTATTAAAGGTGCAGTTTTTGCAAGTAGATGTGTATGGTAGAGAGGTCTAGCTGGCAAACTCAGCATCACACTACTTAGCTGGACATTACTCAACTAGACCTCATTGTTATATGCTGAAGGACACTCTCTAAGCCTACTGTCACAACCTTTAGAAGATCTCACTCTCACCTCACCTAAGGGATAGGCATGGTAGCATCATAAATGTATGGGACACCTATAGAGAGTGTCCTTACAGTAACTCCCACCACAAAGTATATACCTACATACATACATACATACATACATACATACATACATACCTAGACCAGAACTAACAAACCAAGGTAACCACATTAGCCTAAAGTGACAAACTTCAACTGACACTAAAAACAACTCCATTGTGTTCAACTTTCAAGGTTTCAAAAATAAAGTGGCCTTTTAGACAATGCCCAAGAACATGTGTGTGTGCTGTTTTTCTGAGGCAAGCTCTACTACTCTATGGTCGGCCCTAGCATGGAGCGGTGGTGGGGCGGTACGGTAGTAACACAGCCATATCAGGTTCCACATGAATACCTACAACTTTAGCCACACTTTGTAGGTGCCTGTGTGTGCAATTTGTGGGTGGTGGTCAATGGAGGGTGTGTGTGTTAAGTGGCCTCTGTTACCTCAGCCAGTGAATATCTTCATTAGCTGAGGGTTTACTTTGAAAGGCGACTTTATACCCACTAGTACAGAGTACATGGAGGTTCATACATTTTGTTAGGGGGTAGAGGGAAAGAGGAAGAGAGATAGGAGAAAGGGCAGAGAAGGGGTAAAGGTTAGGGAACTAGAGCGAAGATAAAGAAAGATGGGAGAGGGTGGGAGAGAGGGAAAAGAGAGAGAAAGAAGGAGTGGAAAATGGTAGAAGGGAGAGTGAGTGGGAGCCTATGACAAAAGTATATACATTAAAGTACAGTATTAGCAGTAGTTCAAGAGGGCTGGTGGCCCTGTATGGTAGGCTACATGAGTAAGGTAGTGGCCATCTGTGGCCAGTACAAATCCCCAATTGTGCAGAATGTGTTGCATTGTGTGTCATCTATTACCTGTAACATCCCTGGGCCTGTAAAACACACCTACACCCTATGGTTCATACATTCACCTGTACTACACTGCATGTGTCCGTATATAGAGGCCCAAAGGGGTTAACCTGTAGTATGACAATGAGGTCTCATGTGCCCTATACATAAGGTCCACTCTCCAGTGCCCTATATGTAAGGCATACTCTGGGGAACTATTGCATACTCTCTAGGGTGATATTCAATAGCCATTGTAGAGCCTTGTGCACAAGGCTAGTGTAGGTATGCAATTGTCTAAGACCACTAGCTATGATCTCACCCTACCTGTGAAAATCTCCAGGGGGAGGGTGCGCTGCACTCTGAATACGTTTATACTTACTACCCACAGGCTCTCACTCTTTACCTGCTGCTATTCATAGATAGATGCGGCAGAGTCTAAATATAGTTGTGGAGCGTGTGCAGGTGGTGCCGTGCACAGGATGGGAAGCCCCAAGGGAGCAAGGCTAGAGAAAACCAGGGTGTGTGTGTTTTGCATGCTTGTGATGCCTACAAGAGAGGGAGCAGGGGTGTGGGGCTAGTCTGGGCCACTGTCTGTCTGTGTGTGTGTGTGTGTGTGTGTGAGTTTGCAAAAAAAGGTGCTCTAAGGTAGAAACAGTGCCAAATGGGTGCACTGGTGCTAAACACATATACTCCTCTCAATAAAGAGTGCCAGAATTGTGCCTACTTATCTCATTGTGTTGTGTTTGCCTATAAATCCACAGAACCTTCAAAATCTAAAAGTCGACCAATTTCTCAGTTGTGCTCATGTGCACATAGTCATGTGTTGGCATTCCTTCGTTATATATCCTCACGTGTGCTGAAGGACAACTACTTTCACGTTTGTCACATGGCGTTTTTCCAATCTGATTGGCTTACGAAAAATCCTGACTCAGCACAACCAAGAATTCCGACCTTAGCTACGTAACAGACCATTTTCGTGCCGGGGGGGGGGACGCAAGAATCTGGGAATGAGATTAGTACAAACCTAGCCAAAATGGGTGTGGCACACAAGTAACCAAGGCCCACTAGGGCTGGCTTCAAACAAGCCTTCAGGAGTATAGAATTAGGATGGCCAACACACCTACACGCGCATAACTTAGCATAATGTGTCAACAACGAAATTCTCAAGCCACTCCAACCGACATACCACCATCACTGGGGGCAGTCAAATTTATATACACGTCAGACAAATATTTATTGGGCATGCCGAGGTCCACACTAAAAATAACAAACAACTGCATATATACACTTTAGCTATAGGTGTTCATGTATACATACCTATGCTTATACCAATTGGCTCAAATATTTACAGGGCTTCAAGAGAAAAGTTATTAATGTAGATTGGCAACCTACTAACTTGCTCATCTCTGAGATCCACTATAAGAGGTGCCCAAGGTTTGGCAGAGTGGAAGGCTAGTGAACATACA